CAAAGCAACACCGATGCGCCGCGTGCGTCCTAATTTTGCCGAAGATGGTGAGTCGTTGTATATTCACTCGAGAATTTGCAACTTCTTAACTAAATTATAACACGCATTGCCTGGTTTTGCTACCATCTTTACTTCCGAATGCCTCCGCCATTCATAGGAAGCCGATACGGAGGAGGTTTTGACTTCGACTTTGATTAATTCTTTTTATGCGTTTTTCCCGTGCAGCACTAGAGCACTGCAACAGGCAGCAAAAACGCTTATTGCATCGGTCCTGTGTGTGTTTGTGTTCATCTGTTCAGGTATTTGTACCCAGTAACTGTGCAAGTTTTAAAGCTGAAATTTTGCCAATGTGTTTTCTGGCCAACTGCGACTCCAGGAGAGTGGCATCAAATGTCACGCACGTCTGCGCCTTACGTACGAGCATGTGAAAGTTTTGGCGGGAAAATTGTTAACTCAGAAACAAGGAAAGCTGGAAGGCTGGAATTTTAAAAGGATGTTACCTATTCATGTGCGACCAAACATTTCAAATCCAACTATTCAAGGGACGTCTTTTTCACGCATCAGCAACTTTCGATTTGCCGGTTCACAAAAACCGACACCTACAACTGATATTCCAGATAGCTGCGCAGTTAACTTCCTGAACTTCGAGGGCCAGTAGGTCACAAATTCTAGCTTCTGTGATGATACAGCACGAAATAGTGCAAAAAAGCATGATCGCGCCGGCATACCTGGTGTGTTCTAGTGTGATTTATAAAGCAATAATTACTCTGAAAAGTAGATTAAAACTCGAAATAGTTATTTTAATATTGGTAATGCTACAGCTTTAGGAACTGAGAGGTATTTTGAATTCCAAGAAGCCCTTTCTGTGCAATGTCTTTGAGCGATGGGTTAGGAAGGTGACAAGTACCAGCCGCTCACTAGCAAGGCTGTCGACTGTTCTTTCGTTTAAGAATTGCTTACAATCAAGCTGATGGCGGTTTTGACTCTCTGGCGCGCACCAGTACCCATTTATCATTAAAAAGAATGAACTGAAGAGGGACTGGTTGTCCTACTGGTAGAGTCGGATTCTCGGTCTTCTGCTCGGCAACAGTGCTGCTCTTTTCTTCGCCGTACACGCAAGCAGTTTTGAAATACTCTATTGGAATTAATAGAAGACTTCTGGCGGCTCTTCAGGGAAAGGAAATACAGCACTGCTTAAATTTACATGCTCTTATTTGTTAGGCTGATAAATTTTGTATAATTGCAGTGTATGGTGCAAATGCAGCGTCGTCAAAGCAGGAGGAGCACGACGAAGTTGATGATATGTCACCGGATATGTGCGAATCGGCATTGGCCCAGCGGCGTTCTGCGCAGCTTCCAAAGCTAAAAGAAATTGGAAACAATCCAAGACCGCTGAGCGGCGATCTTTCGGTAGTTTGTATTTTGTCCTTGTCGTTTTTTTGTGAGAGGCTTTCAACTCAGTATCACATTATGATTTTTTTTTTCGACGTCCATTTGATGAAGCGGTTTTTTTTGGCCCCTGCCGGAATGTGATGTTGCTTAAGTCCCGGCACTGAGTGTAGCATTTATGGTTATCTCCATTTTTAGCAAAACCTAGTATTTTTGGAGAAATGTTAGCACGTTTTCGGCTAATTTTTACTCTTCTTTACCAAATTTTTCGAATTTCTTTTTTACGAACGATTCGAGCGCACCTTTCCAGAACAAGATTGATAATATAAAATTCACAGACAGTTTTATCGCCTTCCACAGAATGATACTTCTTGCTGCTTTCGATACGTGGAAGCCAAGTACT